AAATGAAAAATAAAGTTGATATAATTATAAATATATATAAATATATAACTAATAAATTATTTTATTAAAACATATGCAATTAACAAAACTTGAAGAACTTACTATCAAAATTTCTATTTCTCTCGTGACAAAGGAGTAAAACTGTAATGGGATAAGTAGGGACATAGAAGTCGTAATCAAGTAATAAATGGTCAAACTTAATAAAATTGGTTGCCCTTGGAATGGCCAACATCCCATTTTCTAAGAGAATGGAGGGGTTGCATAGAGAATGATAGTCTCATGTCTCTCCTCACATACATCCTTTTGTCCCTTTCCAACACAACAAATATTCTGGCCCATATATTGGTCCCTTAAATAGTTAAACTATGATGTTAAATAATTACTTCTAATTCAAAAATTACTTTAAGTAATATTTAAGAAAAACTCCTCTTTATTATAACTATTTATTAGATTATCTTTATTTAAGATTATCCTAACCATATTTGTTAGTAATTTTTATGTAATTTTATACATTTCAAAAGTTTCAAATTACTTTTGCAGAACATAAATATACAAATAAAAGTTATTGTTTACAACTTCCAATTAGTTTGCCAAATACATGTTATGTATCATCACATCTGACCTTGTTAAGTATAAATAAAATACCAAAAAGATTCACAGTCATCATATGAGTTTGATTAGTTATAACGATTATTGAATTGGTCAACTGAAACACATAATAATCTATGAAATCAAAACTTATAATTTCATATCTAACTTACTAAGAATGTAATCTTATAATAATTCTTATGACTCCTACGAAGGGTAAAAAATTTAGACAAAGATTTGAAATGAATTCCCTAGCAGAACCTCAAACAAAAGTCCAAAATATATATATATATATATATATATATATATATATATATATATATATATATATATATATATATATATTTTTAAAAAAAAACATAAAAAAATCATGATCCATACATTCATAGGATAAGACTAAAGAATTAAAATGCTAAATAATGATGCATTGGTCTGTCCCAAGCACATGATCCATCATCGGATCTAACCCAAAAAAATATAAATGAGAACGGTCCAAAAGGGTATGAAAGTAATTTCACCCAAAGCAAAGTTAGCCAGCCAGCCACATTGGCTATATAAACCAATTGGATCTTTATTTCCCATGCACACAAAACCCCCAAAGTTTGAAGAAAGTTATAAGAGTTTGAGAAGATGGTTTCAAAGGTGGAGCAAGCGAAGGATAGTCAACAACAAAAAAGTCAAAATCACTACCACAACCACCAGCAGCAGCGTCAGTCGGTGATTCAGAAAGAGATGATAATGCAATGTAACAAAGTCAACACCACCAAGTTCAAGAGAAGCACATCACATCTTCAAGACGATGGTGTGTCTTCCGCCATTCTGTTGCTAGCGTGCATCGCCTGTGGCCCATGATCCAATTATATAGATTTTAATCATTGAAACTTTAATATATATACTTATGTGTTTGCGTAATTTCATAGCATTTTAATGTATACTTTTAGTTTTACTAGATTTATTGTAGTGTTTGTTACAATATTACGTCGAAAATGGTAAATTGGTTAATATCTATAGAACAAAGTTTTCATTTATTTGATTGGGAAATTTGCATATAATCAAACAAATGATCAAGTTATCAAAAGCTAGATTCTATTTTGGATCATAAGATATTTTATTTTATTATAACATATGTTTTTAAACGTGATTATAAATTACATAAGAAGACAAATTCTTTTTTATGTACAATTTTCCTTTTCCCTCTTTTCACTTATTAAACTTGCAAACGAGCTTAATTGGGTTGTGATTGCAACTCGTGTATAGGACTTTGGCCACAAAAATAGGTATTGATAATCAATTTTATAACATTTGACCATTTATTATTATTATTCCGATACCTAATTTCATCTATTATAACTAAAATAAAAAGCACATTGGTCTTATGTGTAATTTGCTCGATTCAAAATATGATGGTTTCCCAAAGAATCTATATATAGTATTATTAATTATTGTCCTAGCTCTAAATATATATATATATATATATATATATATATATATATATATATATATATATATATATATATATATATATATAGGGATAATGACTTAAAAGGGTAACATATTACTCGATTTATACATATTTGGTCACTGAGTTTTTTTTTCGTCCACATTTACCCCTTAAACTTGTTAAACTGTACACATTCAGTCCTTATGATATGTTACTCCGGTTAGCCGGGAAAAATGACTTGATAGGGTAATATATTTTTCATTTTGTACACATTTAGTCCTTAATATTTTTGTACATATTTAGTCCTTAACATTTTTTTTGTTTCAAAATAAGTCCATTTTTTGTACTCATTCAGTACTTATGAATGATTTCTTTAGGTTTTTTTTCACGACATCTTACGTGAGACAATCATTGATGAGGTGCTTGGGGTTGTTGATGCATATGTCCAATGCGATCTCGACTGCTTGGTTGCGTAAGTCTTGTGATTTGGCTTAGGTCTTGTATTTTGAACATCGTAACTTCTTCATACGATATCAGATTTTAAGGATCTTTATCCACGCGTTCATTTTTTGAGTCTACTACAACTTTCATTAAGATTACTCCCGTTAAAATGTAATATATTTTTACTAACGATTTTATAAAAAAAACATACATACATGCATTCATAAAAAAATGTATGGACAGGGGAAGACGCAGTAATACATAGTAGGTGTTGCCGAGATGAAATAGGTGTTGCCGATACATGGAAAATAGGTATAAACGAAAAAAAAAAGCGAAAAATTTTCCACTGCGAACAGAAAAAACAGGTGTTGTCGGTGCAACACCGGGACCATACTAAATCCGCCACCGCGTATGGATATAAAAATCGTAAGTAAAAATATATTATTTTTAATGGGAGTAATATAAATGAAAGTTGTAGTAGACTAAAATACGAACGCATGGATATAAAGATCGTTAAAATCTGAGATCATATGAAGAAGTTATGACGTTCAGAACACATGACCTAAGCAACCAAGTAGTCGAGATCGCGATGGATATAAGGATCAAAAGCCTCATACACCTCATTAATGAATGTCCCATGTAAGATTTCGTGAGAAAAAACTAAAAAATCATTAATAAGTATTGAATTAGTACAAAAAAAATGACTTATTTTGCACAAAAAAAAAAAAAAAAAAAAAAAAAAAGACTAAATGCGTACAAAAATATTAAGGACTAAATGTGTACAAAGTGATAAATATATTACCCTATTAAGTCATTTTTACCGGGTAACCTGGAGTAGCCGGTCATAAGGACTGAATGTATACAATTTAACAAGTTAAAGGGGTAAATGTGGACGAAAAAAAAACTCAGTGACCAAATGTGTACAGATCGAAAAATATATTAGCTAATCTTGGTTAGGAATTTTGATACGGGATACAAACATTGAATTTTATTCATATAAATTAGCTAATCTTGGTTAAAATTCTGTTGATAATTAACACATTAATCTGTGCAATATAGAAAATGGCTAAAGACAGAACAAGTTAAATACGTGGAATGAGTTAAAGGTCGTTTAAAATGTATTTAACGCTTACAACATCAACGTGACACTACCCTTGTTGACTAATTGACCATAACATAGTTTGATTTTTTATTCTCCCTGCCCATGTTGGTTATTTAGCAAACAAAGTGGATATATTTTATACAAGTCGAAGCAACTGACCATAATATCATATGCATATGCAAATGCAATGAACATATTCGAAAACAAGAAGCTTGTCCATATATAGATATATCAAACCCAAGAACATGGAGCACGTGGTGATCATCCAGTAACTCACGTGCCACTGTTTTGTGGACTGTGGAGGACTCGAGGATACCAGTACTACCGTGGGCTACATACAATGCACTCAGGAGTCAGGAATGTTTAGAATAATAATATTTAAAACTCAGAAACCGTCCAAAATTCGATAAACTGTATCGATCTTTAGATTAACTGAACTGTTTTCTTTATTATATTCAGTTTGGTTAATTGAATAACTTCTTCTTTTTGGGTATTGCAATCAACGAACCCAATTAAATTTGAGTTTGGGCTTCCTACAAATAACCAAAAAAAAAAAAAAATACATACGAACAAGAAACAATTTTGTCAAGAAGGCCATCTTTTAGTGACTTATGCAACCCAAAAGAGTAGAATTTCGAAAATTCCAAAGCATCCAAAAAGTTGTTTATTGCGTAATAAATAACTCAAGTTGATAACTTTGGTGTGAGATATCTGCTTCTAAATCTTTGATGTGTGTGTGTCGCTATAGATGTATTTTGCATTTTGCTTCGTGCTAACCTCATTTCTATGCTTAGAGCTACCATTTTTCCCTTGGATTTACCTTGAGAAGTCCCTTATAGATATGATTTTTGCGTTGTGAGGTTAGATAACTTGGGATTTGGGATTAATTCTACATCAAGCATTGCATTTACTTACAATGTTTTTTGCTTATGTTGCATATTGTGTTTTATGATATTTATAACAATGTAGTTTGTTATTTCAATGCTTTCCCTCAAGATAAAAGTTCTAAATGACTAATGAGTTTAAATGTTTTTACAGGGTTAAACATACGGATTTTGTGAACATCAATATTCTCCTGCAAATGTCTAACCCATGTAACGCTTATTAGGCTTTCCAAACATATGTTCATATTGATGCTTAAATCGGTGGTTGGAAGATTTAGAGCTTGTGGACATTTACAATATATTATTAAATTGATGTTTGAAATAGTATTAACACTTTATGGTTGCTTATATTATATTCGATGCCCTTGCATACCCTTTTTGACAATTTATTTTATTCTTAAAAGATTTGAAATGGTTTGGGAAGGTCACTGCACAATTTACCTCAAATAGTTTTCAAACTAGTCATGCTATAGATGTTTCAATTGGTGAGACCGAAGTTAGGAGCATCATGCAAGAGAAAAACCATTGAGCATGCTAAGTCGTTGGCAAAATACGAACAAACAAGGGGCTCGATTCAAATTATAATTAAAACTCACACTTTTCTAGTGGTATAGTATACCACTGTACTAATTAAATTGATAAATAAATGATTTAACTCTACCATAAACAAGATTTATATATAAAGCTTCATCTGTATCAATTACGGTTGTTGCCCCAAAATATTCTTTTCAAAAACCCACGTTGGTTTCGTTCTCTGGTCCTCATATCCTCGACTGAAAAGATTATAATAAAAAAACTTATGTATTCTAAGATTTTAACAAAGGATTATAATAAATAATTTCAAGATGTAAAGAGTTGTTGAAATTGAGCTGATGGACCTTTTAGTCTGCCAGCAAGAAATAACGCTTCTTCAGCAATGGGCCTCCATTGCTCCGCACATGAGTAGTCGATTCCCAGACCGACGCTAAGCCCTCTCAACAATTGCACCGTGCGAAGAACAGAAAACAATTCCTCCGGAAAAGACTAAACAAAGTAATCTAATCAGTGTAATGGAATGACCGATTCCATTCCATCAGAAGTGAAACACACGTACCCGTACTGCGACCTTTTTAATTGAAGAATCTTCCGAGAAAGGCTGCAACACCTTCACTCCCGGTGGTAATTTTGTATCAAACATTACCTGAGCCAACTTAAACAATTCCGTCTTTTCATCTGAACACATGCTTAACGTATCTATGCCAAGTTCCCTTTATAAATATAATTACACCGATTAATTAACATTTAACAAACATTTATTAGTCTAAATGGACATAATTTTTTAATGTATTTACCGAAAGCCCTCTGAAGCCCTTGTGGGGTCATTATCAGCTATAGCTAGAACCAAATTGGCATAACCTAGCCTCAATGTGTTTGGAAGATCTTTCACTTGTCCATAATCAAGCAACGCCACCTAAAAGATAATTTAACAAAAAAAAGGAAAAAGAAAATATAAATTCAAGCATCAAACAGCATTATTTAGAAGAAAAAGAAAATTAAGCCACATAATTACCTCTGAGCCTTTACAGATGAGAATATTTCCGGGGTGGGGATCCGCATGAAAGAATCCACTCTTGAGTATCATCTGTCCATATGCAAGTGTAAGACTTTTTAGGATGTTCCTGCATTTGAAGAGGGCCTTCACTTAGATACTGTTTCTTTTTAACTTAAGCATTTAGTTTTCAAAGCTTTACATGGTTGTTTCTTTTTTTACTTAATCTGGACATAATGATTTAATGGGTTAGGCCAAAAAAACACGGCTTAATGTATTAAGACACCAACCCTTTACCTATTTTCTCTTACATTAAAATCGATGCATATTGGTATAATTGATTGATATTGTAAAATTTGTGTTTTGGAATGTAAGGGTAAAAACGTCATTTAGTCTCATTCAGACAGTTTATTCGGTCTAGATTAGAAACAGACCTTATGTAAGTGTTTCTTTTTTACTTAATGCAGAAAGAACAACTCAACAGAACTTTTTACAAATTTGCCCTCGTTTACTTTTTTCCTTCCATTTCTTAATTATTATTTATCCAGATAAAACTATTTAAGAATAAGGTGGCAAATGAAATTCTTCATACTCTCTCTCTCTCTGAGTCTGTGGGGGCTTACTGCTTTGCTGCTGCTGCCATCTTACCATCCGGATTTATGCCCCTTTTCGTAATTTCATCTCCAAGATTCAGAATCGGGATCCCATCTATATACTCCATTGCCAACACCCTCCTATTCAATATTCAATTTAGAAATTTTCAAAAAGGGGTATTTTAGACATTTTACTAGCAGCCAAATACTCACCTGGTGACCGCATTGCGTACAACCCGTGGGACTTTAACAGGTGTCTTTCGGTTAACTGAAAGTAGAAAAGCTCTAATTCTATCCATGGCATCGGCTTCTCTTGTAAAATCGAATTCATACCCTATCTTGAATGACATGAATGAAAACAAGATTAGCATATTACAAAACAAGAAATGTAAAATTACCTAACTATCCCTAACTTTACTCAAAACGATTATCTGATTGTGATTCTTGGGTTGGTGGTCACCTGCTTCTCCATTTCTTTACACACGGAGAAGAAATCAAATTTGACATCTGTCTTTTGTATGCATAATGCAAAAGCTTGCAAATTCCTAATATCTGTCATCATCAAGTCTTGAACACCAGGATGTTGTACCTATAGCATAGATTATAATTGAAAAAGATATTTAGATTTTTTAAATAAAATTAATTTAAATAATTCTCCCCTCTCAGAGTAATCATAGATTTTTTCTATGGCCTTACCTTGACAACAATATCATTTCTATCGCCTTTTAACCTAGCTCGATGAACCTAAATCAGAAAGAAACACATTTGAGGTATAATATAAAACATTCAATTTAACAACTTTTAGTTTTTGATTGTGATAAACAGGATACCTGTGCAATCGAAGCAGAGCCAATAGGATCCCAATCAAATCTTTCAAACATTTCATCAACACTTTTACCCAACTCCTTCTCAAGAACAAGTTGCACCATGTTTGATGGGGTTGCAGGAGCTTGATCACACAGAGTAACTAACCTCCTCACCCATGCAGCTGGTGCTAAGTCCGGTTTTCCAAGAATTTGAGCAATCTAACAAATTTGCCATTTTTACATCAAGATTTACCCTCCATTCTATAGTAAGTATCATAGTCCTACAATCAAATTCCCTCATAATGGACTTAACGAAGACTTAATCTCATAAGCTATATGTGGATCTTTTTTTTGCTTAATGCACAAAGTTGGGAACATAAGCTGAAAATTTACCAATTAACCAACTTAATCCATCACGCAACAAAAATACTAAAACCCAAATTGAATTACACATTAAGAGTCCATAAAAAGGCAAAAAGAACAATACGCATCATATAAAGATTCAAACTTTTTGATCAAACACTAACCTTGAGAAAGAACCCACCCATGTCAGAACACATGGAATAAACTTTTTCAGCCGCATGTTCATGTTGTCTCTCCCACATTGCTTCTGCCTTCTCCACATCCTTCTCGAAATTAACTCGAAGTTGAAACACCTATTAACGTAAACACACCATAAAATGAAAGCATCAAGAAACCATGAATACCTCAAATTGGGAAAATAATGGCAAGAAAACACTTTTACCCGCAAAAAGAAAACGTCGAGGAACAAAGAAGAACTGAAATTGGGATAAGAAAGGCCAAAAAAACACAATATAACCCCAAAGCGATAACATCAAGAAGCCAAGAAGACCTCAATTACGAAAATATGGCCAAGACAACACAAGACACCCGAAAAAAAAAATATAACATCGAGAAACCAAAAAGAACCTCAATTGGGGCAACAATTACTATCTGGCTTACTTCTAACGATTGCTTGAATCGTTTACCTTATAACCAGTGTAGATATCCACAGCTCGGGCCCAGAATTGGAAGGAGCGTTGCCATGGTCTAACGCCAGTGGAAAACTTCTCTTGAAATTCTGTGAAATCAAGAGGCATACTGTGATTGTGTCTTTGGTTCCTACTTCCCACAAGATTATTCGTGAAACTGGACGAACATGGGAAAAAATAAAGGGGTTTTGCTCATTATATGTGCGTGATTCAAGTGGTCACCCTTTTGCGTTACTCCTTGGTTCCATTTTGAGCCATGCGAGAATGAGTGAAAGTTTGGAACTTTGGGTAATATCGGTTAGCTAGAAATGTGGCTACGATGGAATTCTGGAATTGGTGCTGGGCCCGTTTATGCTATGCTAAAATGTGGAGCGTATCGTTATCTAAACACTCAAGGCATGTGCTATGGATTTTAGGAGTGTTTAATGATGAAATTGATGTCTTGTATTTTTCTTTAACAGGGATGAGATTTGGTGTGGTATGAATAGTGGCATCAAAACTTATATCAACAGAATAACCTAGCGAAATGCTAGATTAAAAGAAAAATACAAAAAAAGTTAAATAGGATACATAAGCCAAAAATTCCAAACTACATCGGAGTTGGAATCCTGGTTTTTCAACACCAATATTCGTATTTATGTTAATTTGAAACTTTAATAATGTATTTATGTTAATATTTTAACTACATAGTTATGTTATAATTATGTTATGTACTACATCAATATTCGTTATATACAGTATATTATAATTAGGCTTATTTTTTGTTTTATATATTATAATTAATGTTATTTTTTATGTTGTTTAAGTAAATATTTATTTTGAAGCATATTAATTAAATACATTTTATTTGGAATAATGACCTATAAATTTTTTAATTATGAAACAATTTCATATATTAACGTTGGAAATGATTTCTTGAAACTTTGGATGACTAAATTAATAATTTAGTATATAACTGAAAGTCAAAATGCTAAATCAATCAAATACATTATTTAATTAAAAGAATAGAATTAACATATAAAAATATTATTTATATTTAACCATAGGTTTTATTTTTCTAATAATATTTTTCTCTTTCTCATATTTTTTTTTCTAAATTTTAGTTTAATTGTAAATACTAAAATATAATAATATCTATGTAACTAATTGTGCATAAAGTTTTAAAAAAAATTTAAACATATATAAAGTTTTAAATTTTTTTTTCTCTTTTTCTTAATTTTTTTTTTCTAAATTTTAGTTTAATTGTAAATACTAAAATATAATAATATCTATGTAACTAATTGTGCATAAAGTTTTTAAAGAAAAATTAAACATATATAAATAAGATTTTATTTTGAAATCTCAAACATAACACATAATAATAAAATATCGAAATTTGTACAGATATTTATAATTGATCAATTAAGAATACAAAAAATATTAAATTAAAATCCAAATCATCAACTAAGTAGATAAGTTTAGATTTAAGTTACAAAATAAGCATAAAACATAACTAAATAGAATAACTTATTATAAAATTCACACATTTGTTTCATAGTGATTGTAGGACGAAAAATATTAAGTTACACTACAATGTATATATAACAAACATATGAGCTTAGAACTTTGACATCGTAACATTGTTCGAAACGTGGCAAAACAACTCAAACAAACACAAAAACTTAATTTTCTTTATACATTGTTTTTCTCTTTTATTTTGTATGTGATTTAAAACGTGGCCAAAAAAACTCAAACTAACAAAAAAATTTAAAAGTTTTATATTATTCTTGATCCTCACTTTGTATGTGATCTATATTTGTGAGTTGTTCAAATGATTAACCTCTTTTATAATAATAAAAAACCTATTCAACTACTAGATATTTGATACTCATAAAATATAATATTAAATTGAATACTTAATAATTATAAGATATATGTTAAAAAGAACTCTTAAGTGAATATCATTAATTACTTGAAAGATGAAGGGTTATAGAGAATTCAAATGAATATGACGTAAGAATGATAATTATCTTGAACAATATAAATTTGTATGACCTCTATTATAAGATTATAAATATAAATATTCACTGGTTTAATGAAAAACACACATGTTTTCCTTGGGGTAGATCATGAGTTTGAATCGTGCAACCTCCTTTAGCATCTTTTTTCTTTCTTTCTTTCTTTTTTTTTCTTCTTTTTTTAAGATCTAATGTGATAATCCATGCTAGCAAGTCGATCGACACTCACATCAACAAAACCAACTTCCTTTTTTAAGATATGGTGTTGCAATCCACGTCATCAAGTTGGTCAAAACCAACATCAATAAAACTAACACATTATCGCTTAGGTGAGTCAACAAGATGGTAACCGGCTAACTGTTTAAATAATGCACTTTGTAACATTAACCCTACTTATCTCCTTGAATTTGTGCCACTTTGCAGCTTGATGTGATAAAGGAGTTTATAAGAATTCTTACAACTCCAAGGACCTTAAATATAATTTTCAAAACCTATAGAGTTAAGTATAAGTTAAACATTTCATTTTAACCTTCAACGTTCTAAAACATTTTCGATTTACCTCCCAACTCAATTCGCCAAAATCCAGCTAAAGGAAGAATAGAGAATTTTTTTCGAACCAAAGAGATGGCGAGGCCGGAAGTTAGGGCATGTAGATTCATAGTCGTATTGATTTCTTAGCAACCGATGATACGAGTCTTCACAAATTCACAGGTCTGTTTTCCCATAAATATGTTTATGTATCAGAATTTCAGCGCAAAATTACGTTTCAGGTTATGGTATTTCAAGTTCTAGGTTGAATTTCTCTACCTAATCTTTACATTTTATGATGTTTTATATATGTGAAATACGCGAACAAGTATACCAAGTATAATGAAAAAAAACATATGTCATCATAGCTGATGAATACCGATTCTGTGTGAGTAATGTATGCATCGAAGATTTGTAGTTCGATTCTCTTGGTTGAAGTTAGATTGCAAGTTGGGTTAGTTTTAAATGTTGTTTTGTCAAATAATTATAGTATTTGTGTTTAGATTCAACCCCAATTTGATGTTCTTGATCATATTCTTAGGAGATCTTCTGTTTTTTATCTGTTAACAGAATTTTGCTAGAGTATTTCTGTTATTTTAACAGGTAGAATGAAGAACTTTTGTTGTTGAACTTTTTGCCTTATTAGAATTAGAAATATCAAGATAGATATCAATCTAATCAGTTAGGGTCTTGTTCAGTCAAATACCGATTACAAAGACTTAATGACATGAGAGTTTGTGGATTATTTTGTTCTGGTGATAACTATCTGAAATGTGTGAACTTTGGGCATCTTCAAGAATCAATATGTTGATTCTTGGTATCTATGAATATGATAGAAAGAATAGAAATCATAGCTTCACCAAGTTTGGTGTTCCATAAAAAAAGAAACTGCCATATATTTTCTAACAATTGGTTTTGCACCAGAGTTTAGAAAAACATGCTCATGAAGTTCATTGTTCCAGAGAAAGAAGTAGAGTTGTATACAATATTATTGAGGAGGTATTAGCAATTGATGTTCATCATTCATGCTCAATAGTCACAGTTTTAAGCACCAATTATTAGGCATAAAACCCTAAACAAATGTGAAACAACATGTCCTTGTATTGTTTAAATTATACAGGATTTGATTCCATTTGTTGAACAAGAGAATTACCAAATGTCACATAAGTGTAAGCTTCATCCTGGAAATGACATATTTAGAGACCAAGAAGATCATAAGATTCATGTGGATGTAAATGAATGGCGTTGTACATATTGTAAGAAAATCTTTCAAGCAGAGAAATTTCTTGACCAACATTAAAAGTTACCATGAAGTCGGCCTGCTGATGGACCCTGATGTACAGGAAAACAGGTGTCTGCAAGACTCTATAATTAAGGAGAGATTGTTTCTCTGCTCGAAAGATTTTTTTGTGAATTCCTAACATTGAAGGAGAGTTTGTGAATTCCAATTGTTTGCAGAACTATTTTTATGCCAATTTTATGATGCACATACTTGTTCATGTCGTATTAAGCCCTTTTCTAGAGGAGGCAAGGTAAAGAGATTCACGTCTTTTTAATATGTGAATTTTATTGTGACTTGGGGTTGCTTGATATGCCTCTTACTGGGTCTGGTAAGAGGTTGGGTCTGTCATGTTTGATATCACACTTAGAAACCTCTGACTCAGTCGTGGTTCTTCTGATATGCCTCTTACTCGATTAGATTCAGGGTTGTGTTTGACTCATTCGCACATTAACTCAATGATCTGACTCAATCAACAACTATAAAACAAGCTGTTATTCATATCATCATATATATTTGAAATGATGATGACTTATATATGTTTTGTTTTGTTTGCATAAGCATACCAATATCTTCTACTTTGCTATATCAATATTGATTTTGATGTTGCTCCTTATCTTCTATCTCATAGTATATTTGTGCCAAAGGTGCTCACATCACTTCACATATATTTCTTCTATTTTTTACTTGTTATTTAATTTTCATTTCACTTTATATAATAATACAATTATGATATGATGTTGCAGAGAAATGAAAAAGGGCACACATATTCTAAGGCGCATCTCAAAACAGAGTCTAAAGAAAAAGCCATCCTAATTGGTAACTTTTGAGACATAAATAAGAGTGTAATTAGGTTATTAACTTTTACCCCTGTACTTTTTGATGTGTAGGTCATGGTCGTGGATTATATATATGACACCATTCAATATATCCGGAACATGGAGTGTAGCATTGTTTACAAAGAAAGACAAATGATGTGGCATTATAGAATTATCTTTTGATACAAGATCCAACTCTTCTAGAAGCTTTTTACCATGTCATCGACATACAATCACCTAGTATAGGAATTCATGGCTTTCATATCTTGTTGAAACATCCCAAAAATACAGTCTAAAAATTTCGTTTTAAATCATTAATAAAACCATGATTATCGTTCAACATGTAAAAATCATAAACCGTGTATCTCAAGAATATCATAACATCTGTCAACAATATCAGAGTATAAACATCTCAAGCTGAACAAATGGTGTGTGCACTGCAATCATCCCGAGATCCTCTTTTGAAAACTGAAGTACCTGAAACTAAAATTGAAAACTGTTGGATTAGGTGTCTAAGCCTATAACTATAATTGGTATGTACTTGAATTGATAGCAGCACAGTCCTTTTGGGTTGCCCTCAACCTATCAACTGGACAAAGAAATTATGAAAGGAGAGATATTAATTTATAAGATTAATAAATTAATATAAATGATTTATTAATATGTTAAAAGATTAATATATTAACTAGAAATCATTATATTTAATTAATAGTTAGTCAGAAATTAATCAGA